GTAAGGACTATATCACCTGGTTCAACCTCAAACGACACATACAGCATGGGCATTGTACCAGGCGTTGGCGGACTGCGCTCGCCTCTCAACAGCCCCCAGCTCCCACACTTGCCGTGGTAGGCCACAACCCTGCGCCGTCGTTGCTCGAGGTGCCACGGGCTGCTGCGGATCCTCCAGCGGCTGATCCTCCCGCCACGGCCCCCGTCCAGGGTGCGCCGACGCCGGTAGCAGTTCTCCCTCCCAGCGGTTCTCTTCTCAGTGCGCTGATTCCCACTTCCCCTACCCAATGGCTGCATTTTGCCAGACATCCCGAGGTGCAGACAACGCTGCGACAGTTTTGTGCGACGTGTGGCCAATGGCTGGTGTCAGTGAAGAGCATCAAGCTGCACTATAGACATGTTCATACTGATATCTACCATCGTTTCTGCCAAGCCGCTGCTGATGACTGTAAAAAAGTGGGTCACCTCATATCACCGTGTGTCTACTGTGGAGCACATGTCACTCGCACAGATCAGCACTCTGGTACGTGCCCTGTACTCTGGCAAGCGCGTGTTTGTTGTCTGGTGCAGGCAGACCTTGCATCCAAACGCATCGCCGAGCCGGCACCTGCCCTCAGCTCAGCTCCATCCAGCCATGGAGCACGTGCCCGCGCAGATGGACCTGGACGAGGAGGAGAGGGAGTGCTTCGGGAATCTCCTGGGGAAGCGAGCCCTTGCGCTGGGAATGGAATCCCCGAACAAGTATCCCCACCCGAGCGGAAAAGGAGTCCCGCCGCAGGGAGGAAGCAGACCGCGACCCCCCCCACCACAGCGTGGTTCCCGCCAGGCGGCCCCCTCTCAGGGGAGCCGAACAAAAGAGGAGCACCGAGGAAAATCGGGGACTTCTTCAGACCNNCAAAGCGATCACACGGTCATCTTCACCTTTCGGAATGGCGACGGCCCTCAGCTGATGGTGCCGCTACTCCACGAAGTGACGGCCAACTGGCGCGACCAACGCAGCAAGGGCAAAGTCACCAAATC